GGGAGTGGAGTGATACTGGCAATAGCAGCGCTGTAGGAGGGGGACAACTGAAAACGGAGGCCTCCACCTCTGTTTAATGATTGACGGTCTTTCTTCACAAAAATGGCTTCTTTTACTCCTCTCTCAAAACTCTCAGACTGAAGAAGTCTCTTGGAGGAGAGACGAAACGTTTCATTAGAGAAGAACCCGTCCAGAAGACCTACACAATTTTTTTCTTTTTGACTTTTTACCTGGATTACTGAGATGCATCAGGACACCTAGAACAATACATAAATGAACTGAGGAGCAATCTGAAAGTTCTCATTGATGATGATGCACTTCACTGATCTTGCTTTGGACAGGAACCAGGAAAATGGTTCCCTGTGCATGGTATTTGCTCAGGTTTTCCTCAAAAAGCATGGCAGTTTAAGACCCAGTGTCCTCATATGAGGACATCATTATTTATTTATTTATTTTTGTGGAAACCACTTCCTGTGCCAGGACAGGGTCTGGTTGTTATACTTATTAGATCCTACTAATTCTGTATATCTTGGAGAAAGCTTGAGACTCGGGAGGTTAAAATAACTTTTTATTCCGTGTGAAAGTTTTACTAACATTCATCACCGAACTCTTCCAGACACAAACCACAGTATCACTGTTCACCTCTCAGTGAGTCATGAGGATGATTTTGTGTCCTTGAATAAAACTCTAATAAATCCTGTGATGTTTCAACCCAAAGGTGGGAGAGAAGTCCAGCAGAGACACATCTGCTGCTCCGACTGCTAACCGACTGAAGCTGTCATTCATCAGAAAGATAAAAATATCTGACATCCTTTTCATTAATAAATAAATAAACAGCAACAAGAGCTGCAGAGAGCAGGTCTGGACTTGATGGATCCTGAATTAGAGAAAAAAAAACAGATAAAATGTAAACGAAAAACTAAATCTGAAAAGACTAAATTTGGTGATTTGAAATGTTTTAGATTTTCCTCAAACTGAAGCTCCTCCTGGATCTGTGACCTCGTTAAAACCAGACCAACAACTATTTTCAGACGGGCGTTCGTCTCGTCAGACTGAAGTTGACGTGTCGGTTGTGTTTGAGGGAGCCGCAGGCAGAACTCTGACACACGCTGACAGGATGCAGAGAAGCCAGAGTCTGTATGGATTTCTTCTCATGGACCGCTCCGGTTCTGGGTTTGGTGCTGCTGGAGATGTCTCCTGTTACGTCTCTGATGCATCTCTGAATGCTCCTAATTCAGTTTCCTCCCTTTTAACCAGGAGGGTGTGAGCGCCAGAGTCAGGCACAGATCCCCCTGCAGCGGTGATCTCATAGAAAACATTGTTTGGACTGCGAGGGGTTAAAGCTCTGCAGACATTTCATTTCAACGCAGGGGCGGAGACAGATGTGGGGGGAGGGGGGCAGTGGCACCTGATGGGCCACCTTGGGTGCCACCCCCGAATAAATGACAAGTAGATGAAGATCTTGGATGTTTGTGTGTTTAAAAACGGCTAAATTATAGCTCTTTGAAAAATTAGCATTAGCATCATTAGCTTAATTTGGGATTAGGGTTGACAATCAGCATGTCATCATTCTTAGCAACTCCACACAAATTTCATCTCAGTAAGATTTAAAATGTCTGAATTGTTTTAAAATTAGCTGTGGTGGCCATCTTGAATTTCTGATTAGCATTTAGACTAAGATAAGGTTCGCTTTCGGCTACTTCTACACTAATCTTCAGCTTTGTGTGTCTGAAAATGTCTGAATAATAAATAGTGACCAGCATTCTGCATATTTTTTAAAACCGTTCACCATCACAAAATTTCAGCTCGTTTTCTTAAAACAGCCGAGGAGAGGTTTTTTGGAATTAACTATGGTGGCCATCTTGAATTTTCAAATCTGAAGTGCTTTTCTTTGTCTGTGCCCCAATAAAAATCACTTCAGCCACACCCTAAGGAAATTTAGCTCCACCCCTTTTCAACATTTCTAAATGTGTATTTGTTTTTACAATTTCTTGTTTTCTGCTGAGTTACCCTTTAATACTTTAATTCAGAGTTTCTGTGGAGTAAAAGTCAAACTGCCTCCTGGGAACAGGAACAGGACGGAGGTCATTTAAAGGAAACATAATGTTAAATCTAATATTTTAGCTGTTAAATATATTCTGTTGTGCACTTGGAGCCTTTAGGAGGCTGAAAAGTGGAATTTCGTCCCTCCTGGTGCTGCGTGAGTTTTCCAAACTATTATGTCAAATTATTTGAGATGGAAAGGTCTGGATTTAGG